TGTTGAGCTATAGGCGCCGAGCCGAAAACACTATTCTTGAGACTTTATACACTCAAGAATCTAGGTCAAAGGCCCAAAGTTTTAGCAGGAGACCCAGGGAGCGTTTGCCTGGATGCAAAAGCAGCTTTCAAAAGTGCAAGCCACTCTACTGTACTCTTAATCATAGCATCTGTGGGGACTTAGGTTTACTTCTAAATGCAGTATGCCAAAAATCAGAACTAGGATCTGGATCTAGAAGCAACAAAACAAAGTAAAAAAAAAAAAAAAAAGAAATCCCCTAATAAAGATTTAAGAAGCTACTTTCCGTCACTGACTCAAGTATATAGTCAAATATGGAAGCTTAAATATGCGGCTTTTAAAATCACAGGTATCACATATATCTTTTTTATATATGTCTTCATTAGTTCTTTTCATCCGTGTTTCTACACCCTTTAAGTCAGTGAACACGACTTTCTTGGCAGATGCACCCTACTGTCTGGATGTGGCCTTGGGGCGGGGCTGGCAGATACCAGCAGGCTGGTGATGGGAGGTGGCAGAGAATTGTTACAATGACACTACCCAATTGCCCTCTGACCTTCAGGAGGCAATAAGTGACCCTTTAGTCCGAAAGACTCAGTGAGCGGCGAGGCCCAGGGACAGAGGGCAAAACAACCCAACAGGATGACGCAAAGCAGAAAGCCAGAGTTCGATGGGACCCATCCCCGTTCCCGGACAGCAAGGGAAGGGGAGCGGCGGGATCCATCCCTGGCTGCGCGCCAAGAGCCCAGGGATCTCGAGCAGGTTGAGGCCGAAGACCCCAGTGATGTGGGCCTCGAGTGAGGCAGGTCCACGGCTAGCTAACAGCAAGGCAAGGGGACATAAAGAAAGCAAATAAGAAAGAGACGGTGGCAGAGGGACTGGACGCCATCGTACTCACCTTTACTCGTAGCCTGCACAGCTCAGCCTGCCGTGGCCACCGTTCACCCACCGGCTCAGCTCACGCGCGCAAGAACCGCCCAACCGGAAGCTAACCTTAGCCCCGCCTCTATACGACTCGCCGGCGACTTATCAACCAATCATCAGCAAATATGACGATGACGCAAAGCTTCCTTGGGCAGCCATTCGTCCCACAATAAGATAGCCGGGATTGGCTGGAAATCGCCACGTCCCCGGGAGCGCGGCGAGTTGCGTGGACCGGATTCCCGCCCAACTCTGATCCCGGGCCTGTGGGGATGGCTGGCCTCATCCTCCTACTCCGGGCAGCGTGTATGGGCGCGGCCTTCTGGACGCCACGTCCCCATTCACAGTGCATGACTGCCTCCAAAGGGCTTCTCGGATTACCCTGCTCGTTATCTTAATAACCACAAGCCCCCGCGACAGAACTGATCCGATTGTATCAGTCACCAACTGTATTGAATAAGCTCAATTCCTCCCTTCCTTTCAGCAGTATGGCCCTGATGTGCTATCAACAGAAAGCTCTTTACTCTTTGGCTTCAGTGTATCTTTCAGATTCATCTCCCTGCATCCCCCCTCACATATCTTGTGCTCTAGCTACCATCATTTCTCTGTCACTTGATAGCCTGTCCTTTCATGTCTTTGTGGTTTTTGTTCATGAAGCAGCTCCCTCCGCTTGGAATGAGTGCGCTTTCCTGATTCTCAGTCTTGCGAAGACCCATAGAACCCCCGTCCCGATGTTAGCAATAGAAGCCTTCCTGATCCCACTAAGTATTATTCTTCCCTAGTTTGCCTTTACTCTATTTGTCTTCAACACAGTTTGCCAAATTTTGTTATAAAACGCTGCTTATCCATCTGTTCTTAGGCTGAATTCCAGGATAAAAATATATCTCTTCATCTTTAAATCTGCAGCTCTGAGCTTACTGCCCAAGTCAAAGTAAATGGTCAATAATGTTATGCAAACTGAACGGGTGAAACCCACTGCTTGCCCCTGATGTAAGACGAACACAAGAAATCACTTATTTTATGTCATGACCTTAAAGCAATTATTAAATAAAGGTTATTATAGTTTCTGCACAAATGAAATATAAACTTACTGAGTTCTTAACACATAAAGTCCATCTAGTATAAAATCCAGTTGAGACAAGTAGTAAGCTCATGAAAGAGTTAAATACAAAGCAATGAGTTTTCGGTCAAGATGAAAGGTTTACAGCTAATGCTTCCCATTCAAACAAAGGAGTGTCAGTGACTCTTGGTGGTAACCAGAGCAGGCTTCACAGGAAGGAGTGACTCAGGGTGGACTAGGGAAGTCCCAAATGGACTATTCAACAGGAAGAGTAATAGAAACAAGGACTAGTGAGGGATAGAGTAGGAGGTAAATTCCCGGGCCAGATGGGGAATAAGGGAGCCTTAATGGGAAAGCATAGGTGGTAAGTTGGGGTAGGTAGTAGAAGGTCTTGTCAATCTGAGAAGACTGAGCTAAAGGCAGTGGGAATTTGGGATCTTCCTTGGAAAATGTCTAACCTTGTGCCTATGTGGGGAGTGGGAATAAAATTGAAAGAGGTTCTTTCATCTTCTAATAGGGATTAACAATAGAATAGGCTGCCTCAGGAGATATTATTTCAAAAACCATTTAAAAAGGTCTCCTTGAAGTCAGGTACTATGCTAGGTGCTGGTGAACCCAAAATAAATAAGACATCCATCCTACCTTCAAGGAACTGCAGCCTAGTGGCAGCAGCGCCCATCCTGGAAGTGTTCCAGTGAAGGCCAAACAGGTATTGAGACTTTGCCAGAGAGGGGGCCCTCCAACCCTGAGATTCCCTGTGGATAAAGGCCTGGCCCAATAAGGGCAAGAAGAATGGAAATGAACCTTTATGTACAAGTGAGCTTTTAAAAGTAGAAATAACAAGTCCTGGCCTTAGTGACCACTTGGATGAAAGAAATTAAAAATCAAGAGTTTTAACTGGGAGAGAGAATGAGTTAGAAACGAGTTGAGTTCAAGATATGGTTAGTTCTAGATAATGTCAGAATATCTAAAACAAAAGGGCCAAGAGGCTGGAGATCTTGGCCAGGTGGAAGTTGCTGTAGCCATGAAAACAGATGGGCTTTTCTGAGGACTTAAAAGCAGATTAGGCCTCACGGGCACCCCAGAGTAAAAGTAATTGGTAGAGGAAAAGGGCTTGAGGAATGACACCCAAGTCTATCTAGCCCTAGATTCCTCTGAGAGAAGCGTTAAAGGACTGTTTGTGGCAGGCGTAATGGTATCACCTGCAAAAGGGTGACATTTTCCCCAGCTCTGCTCATTTGGTATTCTTGAACATTCACTTCACAAATGAATGTATTAAGTGTTTTCTATGTGCCAGACAGTGTTCTAGGCACTAGGGATATGGCAGTGAACAAAACAGATTAATCTTTGTCATGGTGCTTAGATTCTGGTATGTAAAAGTAGGTGAGACAGCTCATAACAAATCTTTAAACAAGATTTAAAAAGCAAAATGCATAGGATGAGAGGCGGCAATATATGCTAAGGGAAAAAACAAGCCAGAGAAGGGGAATAGGGAGTGTTGGGACTGTCAGGAATGGTGTTGCCACCTTAGAAAGGGTGGCCATGAAAGGGTGACACATGAGGGAACACCTTTCATTACCTTCACCCTGAAAGTGGTGAAGAATATTCCAGGGAAAGGGAAGAACAAGAGTAAGTCCCTGAGCTGGGAGTATGTTTGAAGTGTTTGAGGAGCAATCAGAAGCCAGTGTGGCTGGAGCATAGCAACAAGGAAAGTAGAGGACATGAGGTCAGAGAAGGGTGGCAGGGATGGGAAGGGAGGAAGGACACTTTGTAGAGGTCATTGCAAGGACTTTAGCTTCACTATGAGTGAGAGGGTATGGGAGAGACTGGCTACTTGCCAACCTGTTTCCTGTTTTTCCTGTGAATCTAGCTAGACTACATTTCCCAGTCTTCCTTGTAGTGTTGCCAGAGAATTGAGCTCTGACCAAAATAGAGAGAGCAGAAATGATGTGCACTATTCCCAGTACTGGCCACACAAAGCTGCCATGTGCAATTCTCCAAGCCCTCTCTCTTCTTGTGGCTGGAAGCTATCTATTGAAGATAGCAGAGCCACAAGACAGGATCCTGAGTTCCTGTTAAAAGGTTGCTCACTTATCAGGAACACCATTCTTGGACTTTGTATGAGTGAGAAGTAAAACTACTATTAGTTATTTTATACCATTGATTTATTGGGATTTACCTCTTAGAAAACTAGCACTGCCTTAACTTATAGAGAGGAAGCCATTTGGAAGGTTTTAAGCAGAGAAATGACAGAGAAATGATCTAAGATTTTTAAATGATCACATTAGAGTGAATAGGGTAAGGTTAGAAACAGGGAGTGCATATAGAAGGCTTTTGCAACTATCCAGGTGAGTAATGATTGTGGTGGTGGAAGTAGTAAGAAGGGTCAGATTCTAAGTATATTTTGAAAGTAATTTGAAAGAACTTCCTGGTGGCTTAGAAATGGGTGGAGAGGAAGAGAGGAGTCAAAGATGATATCAAGGTTTTTTTTTTTTTTTGAGACAGAGCCTCAAGCTGTCCCCCTGGGTAGAGTGCCATGGCATCACAGCTCACAGCA